AAACATGTCATCAACTCCTTCCCATTAATATATCATCATTATCATGATCTTCCTCACTAACTATATATATATCTAAATATTCATCCATTTAATTAAAAAAAAAACATTAATATAAATTTTATTTCTACTTAGATTATTCAATAACCTTTTTGTTAAAATAAAAAATAATAATAAATTACATTTTCTTTTAACGTTTTTTTTTCACTTGCAGTTTTACTACGTTACTACACTAAGTCTCTATTGTATTATTAAAAAAAACAACTACTCACACTATTATCCAAATAAGAAAGTAACTTCTCTTAACATATAAGAAATGAATTATGACGTGACCATGTCCACTATCAAATTAGGAGTTATATTCCCTTAAAAACATGAGAACAGTAGTAACTGTTTTTCCTTTTCTATTGACATCCACTATTTTCATTCTTCAATTGCAATGTACTAGATTAATGCTCCCTATTCAAATATAACTAGGTGTTGCAAGGTATTGCAAGGTGAGTTTTTGGGAAATCTAATAAAGAGCTTTAGGGAAACATAATAATATATGATTTTGGTTGTTTATAAATTTATAATTTTTTTTGTTATGTTTCAAGGTATGGAAAATCAAATGTCATCTACATCATACTATTGTAGGCTATCACGAGAAAGGATGACCCCTGAGCAACTTGAACAAGAAGCTATTGCCCGAAATGCTCAAAGGCGGGCTACTTACCAATTAAGGAGAGATGCTCGACAAAATGACAATCGTTCAGCTTTAATTAATATTACTAATCAATATGTCGCAAGTGGCACACTCACTTCTTCAAATCATGTTTCAATTAGAAGCACATGTGAGTTCAGTTACATAGACTACGTTTGAAGCATTTTCCATATTGTAAATAGTGTCATTGTTCTTTATATGATATATGAATATGAGTTATTTACAAAAGATCATAGATATTTATGTTTGTAGTGTTAAAAAAAATTATGTAGTTACAGTGCTTACTTTATAAAGATGACTAAAAAATAGCTTGAAAGTATAAAAGTAGGCCAGGGGAGTATAGCTTATATGTTGTCGCAAATGAATTACATATATACTTAGTTGCACAAAACCACAATTAAGATCTGATTTATTTAAAGTTCTGACCAACAACAAAATTATTTTACTAATTACTAATTTTTTACTGTACAAAACAACATTATTATCTAATAACAATTAAGGTTTTAAAGAGCTATTGTATTGACTCGATTAGTCACTAATTGAGAGAAGAACACTAAATAATGATTCACCTCTAATACATGATTTAAATTTGGAAAAATTTCCAATTATAAGAGTAAGTGATTCTTGGAAGCTCAAGAAGAACAGTATGTTGAGATTAGAAGAAGAAATGAATATTCAATTTCACTCTAAACAATAGAAATGAATGTATTTGATATATTTATTGGCATGTTGTCAATCAGCTTCACCTATTTTCACATTTAAGGAGAAATAAATATTCATCACCCATCATGTTTCAGTTTTTATCTTTGTGTTTATTTTTCATTTTTAATGTACGTATATGTAAGCATTAAATGTACGATTTTATTTTCCACATTGCATTGCAAACTAAACTTTTCAAAACTCACTTTATTCTAAATAAGTGAATGCCAATGCAAAATTGCAAATATTATAACTCTCTCCTTCTCTTTCTTAATTACTAAATCAAATGAGACTTACATGATACTATACAGTAATTGTGTGTTTTCTACACCTAAATTTGTTTTAAAATTGTATTATTATCATTTTTAGATCAAATTATACCTGATCATAGCTCTAATAAAATTCAAAGTGAACCTAACTCACCCTATACTATTCAAATATACATGTTACAAATGAAACCAATTTGCAACTGATTAACCATTGGAAAAATTCTTTGACTTATCAAATAATTATTAAAAAAGCCAACATAGCCTCCATCCAAAACCAAAAAAGGACCTTTTATAATAATAATAGCACACTTGCCATTATAATAATGCCTACGCCATGTCATATAGACATATACTAACTAAAATTTAAACCATTATATTCACACATTCAGACTATGCATACCAAAATTTTCTAATGCTTTTATGATGAAATCAATCGGTCCCAGCTACTATAACTATTACACTTCTCATGTTGGTGAGAAAACAATATTATTATAATATGATAAAGTAACAACAATTGAAAAGGGATTAGAACCTAACCATCTATAACTTATCCCCAAATCCGAAATATCCCAAACGGTGAACTGGATAAGACACAAAAAAAAAAATGATAAAGTAACAATTTCCATAATAATTGTTCAAGAAAATGTGACACAAACTAATCAATAAGCTTATAAAAATATTTAATAGTTGTGATATATATGCACACTAATATTTCATTAATCTTTAAAGTCAATACATGTTCATTTATGTATTCTATCAATAATTGAAACATATTAAATTTTTATCAAACTTACTATATAGTATTTCATTCATTATACAGCAATTCATATTGGTGAAAGTGTCATATCGCACAATTTTACGTGTAATGGACAACGAAATATCCAAGGTGGTAGCACAATTTTTGGTGATAGTGGCATTCAAGGCAATCCTAATGTAATGCATAACAACAATGTTCAAAGAAGAAATAGGGGAAGAGTCTGTCATCGTTCTGCAATAAACTTTCATGAGCAAAGAGGAGTCCCGATCGTTCAACTATCACCTCCGAGAACGTGTGAGTTTTGTCAAGCTCGCCTTTTTCATAATGAAACATCCTAAATATGTTGTTTGTCTGGGAAGATTACCTTGCCAACCTTACCTGTTCTCGAAGATCTACGTTCTTTATACATTGATCAAACACCTATTGGAATACAATTTAAGAGTGACATTAGAAAAATTAATCACTTATTCGCTTTAAACTCCATGGGAGTGCACTTAGATGAGAGCTTAGCTAATGCTCAACACGGAGTATACACATTTCGAGCTCAAGGGTCTATATATCACAAGATAGGCGGGCTGCTCCCAAGTACATCAGAATCTCGACCACGATTCCTTCAGTTGTACATATATGACATTGAGCATGAGGTTGAAAATCGTCTTGCGGAGAATAACACAATACGACAAGATATTGTAGAAAAAATTAAAGCCATCCTTGATCGGTGCAATCCTTTTGTTCATAATCTTCGAAGTTTGCTCAACAAGGAAACATACACGAATGTGCACTCCGTATTAATGAACAACCATCAGATCGACCACAATATTGTCTTCCTACTGCTTCTCAAGTTGCGGCTGTGATTGTCGGAGGAGAAGAGGTTGCGAACTTAAATCCAAGGGATATTTTAGTTCAATCAACCTCTGGCCAATTAATGAATGTGTTGGATACTGCTAGATACTATGATCCCCTTCAATATCCATTACTATTTCCATATGGTTCTTATGGATGGTCGATAAATAGTCTTGATAATAATGGAAGAACCATACCTTGCCGAGCATTCTACGCTTATATCATTCAAGTAAAGTACACTCCTCTCTCGGATTAACACGTAGATTTATATTATTTTCTCATAATTTAACAATACTTTATTAATTTTAGGTACGACAATATGTCTCCATCATCTTAATGGCAGGGCGCTTATTTCAACAATTTATTGTTGACATGTTTGTGAAAATTGAGGCAAATAAGCTAAGATGGATTCGAGATAATCAAGATACAATTAGAGCTGAATTGTATCAGGGACTTCAAGCTTGTTTAGATGTCGGAGAACTCAATCCAGGTTCTTTTCTTAAATATGTTCTTTGCCTTTAATTTTAATTTTACTATTATTATGTACTATAATATAATTTACGGTACATTGTAATTATAGCAAATGCCGGGAAAAAAACCGTTCTACCTTCTTCGTTTGTCGGGTGTCCAAGAGACATGAATCAAAGATTTCAAGATGCAATGGCATTAGTTACACATCATGGAAAACCAGACCTGTTTTTGACAATGACATGCAACCCATCGTGGAGAGAAAATGTAGATGAGTTATTTCCAGGTCAAACAGCACAAGATCGTCCCGACTTAATCACCAGAATATTCCATGCAAAATTTGAGGAATTCAAGATGGACGTTGTAGAAAAAGGCGCTCTAGGGAAGGTTATTGTCTATGTCTATGTCATTGAGTTTCAAAAAAGAGGCTTGCCACATGTTCACATGCTGCTCATTTTGGACGAAAAAGACAAACAAAAATCTCCGGAATAGTATGACACATTTGTGAGAGCCGAGATACCTGATAGAGATGAAGAACCACGATTATACGATGTTGTTTTGAAGCATATGATCCATAATCCGTGTGGCGAAGGTCGTCAAAATTCTTCTTGCATGGAAAATGGGGTTTGTAAACGTAAATTTCCTAAACCCTTTGCAGAAAGCACAGTCCAAGGCAAGAACTCATATCCTATTTATCGTCGTCGTGGTGATCGTTCGCTAGTGCCTTTACATGAGAATAGTGCAACCTTCGTTGATAATGGTTGGGTTGTTCCATATAATTCATGGTTGCTACTAAAATATGATTGTCATATCAATGTAGAGATCTGTAGTAGCATCAAGAGTGTAATATATTTGTACAAGTATGTGCATAAGGGTGTAGATCGTGTTTCAATGGAAGTTCGAGCAGGGGCTGAACACAATGAGATTCAACAATATGTGGATGCTAGGTGGTTATGTGCACCTGAAGCATTATGGAGGATATATCAGTTTCCCATTACTCGAATGTGTCCATCTATTGATCGATTACAGCTACATTTGCAAGATAGGCAAATGGTTAGATTCAGTACAAATCAATCTATTGAAGACATCCTTCAAATGCCACAAAACTCTCGAACTATGCTCATAAAGTTCTTCAAGATGAATTCCTTAGATCCAGAGGCAAGAACATACCTATATAGAGAATTTCCTCAATGTTATCGGTGGCTGATGGAGAAAAAGGAGGAGTACACAAAGAGTGATAGGTAGAATCTACACAGCCTCACCAATGGAAGGAGAAAGATTTTTCTTGCGTTTGTTGTTGGATCATGTTAAAGGCCCCGAATTATTTGAGCATCTACGTACTGTCAATGGGATTGTTTTTTCTACTTTTAGAGAAGCAGCTGAAAAACTAGATCTCATGGAGAATGATGCAAGCATTCGTGATTGTTTTTGTGAAGCATCAAACTCTAAGATGCCATCATCATTGAGAAGAGTGTTTGTCACTTTATTGGTTTATTGTCAACCAACTGGGGTTCGATCTTTATGGGATGAATTTTATCATTACATGGCTGAAGACTACTTATATTCAACTTCAACAAATCTAGAACTGGTACGTGATTCAGTTCTCTATGATATAGATCGCATGTTAAAACAATTAGGAAAGAGTGTCAATGACTTCGACTTACCTAAAATAAACATGCGATTGGATGGAAATGCACAAGTAGCTAGAGCCATACATGATGAATTATCAGCACCAGTGCCCCCTGAAGACGTGCATTGTGCGGAGCATCTTAATGACGACCAACGGTCTTCATTTGATATCATAATAGAAGCTATTGATGCAGAGAATGGTCGAATTTTCTTTATAGATGGTCCAGGTGGGACAGGTAAGACTTATCTATATCAAGCCATACTTGCAACAGTCAAGCTTAGAGGGAAATTTGGATTACCAGTAGCCAGCTCAGGTATTGCTGCCACACTATTGCATCGAGGAAAAACCACTCATAAAACTCTTGATATTCCGGTTACGCTGCATGCTTCGTCAACTTGGAAGTTTAGTAAACAAGATGTAGAGGCGCAATTGGTCAAGTATGCAGCTGTCATTATATGGGATGAAGCAACAATGACTCATCGACATGCGTATGAAGCAATTGATCGTAGTTTAAGAGATCTAACAGGGGTTGATGTTCCATTTGGCGGCAAAGTCGTAGTGTTTGGTGGAGATTTTAGACAAATTTTACCCGTTGTACCAAAAGGAACAAAGGCTCAAACTATAGATGCGTGTTTGGTCAGGTCAACACTATGGAGACATGTTCAGCTACTCCATCTCACTCAAAATATGAGATCGATACAGGATCCTGAATTTGCAGCCTTTCTTTTAAGAGTTGGAGATGGATGTGAGCCTACAGTTGATGAAGACATGATAAAGTTACCATCTTCAATATGTGCAGGAAATGGTGATAATATTTCAGTTGATAATCTTATCCATCAAATATTCCCAAACCTCACTGAGCACGTAGGTGATGTGTCATACATGGTACAAAGAGCTATAATAACACCAACAAATGACGAAGTTGACATGCCTAATGAGAAGATACTTACTGAGTTTGTCGGAGAAGAAAAAACCTACTACTCATGTGACACTGTTCCAGAAGATCGTCAAAATCTCTATCAACAAGAGTTCTTGAATTCATTATCCTTTGGTGGTTTGCCACCACATATTCTTAAGCTAAAAGTTGGCTCTCCAATCATGCTTTTGAGAAATATTGATACAAACAGTGGGTTGTGTAATGGGACAAGGTTAATACGTAGTCGGTTAAGGGATCATGTGATTGAGGCAGAAATTTTGACCGGAAGTCATAAAGGGACACGAGTGTTCATTCCACGTATTCCTTTAAAAACGGTAGAAGATGTGAAGTTGCCATTTGAAATGATCCGGAAACAATTTCCTGTGAAATTGTGTTTTGCTTTGACCATAAACAAATCGCAGGGGCAAACCATTCCTCATGTTGGTATATATCTCCCCCAACATGTTTTCAGCCATGGACAGTTATATGTTGCACTATCGAGAGGGACCTCACAAGAAACAACCAGAGTTTTGGTTAGTAAAGGAGATGTTCGAGGTAGATGTGGTGTATTTACAAAAAACGTGGTTTACAAAGAAGTCCTCCTGCCTCATATGCCACAACCCTAATTATCAGGTATAATCGTAAATATTAAACATGCATACATAACTATTTAAGTAATATACATCTATGAAATGACTTCTTTATCTTCTTATCAGGGAGCAAGCTAAGCTTGATAAAAGTCAACAACTAAGCATCAAAAGTGTATGGAAGCAAAAACAACTCATGCTAAGGATATTTTTTATGTTTTTTATATTGTAATTTTATTATAGCATTATCTCCAAGTATATCTACAATATGTATGCGAAAATAATTTCAACTCTTAATTTTCATAAAACATCATGTATGTATGTGGTATATTGTGCACGCATGGCATGCATATTTTAGCTTGTGTGGATAAAGAAAACTAAAGAAAAATTAAAAAAAATACATGAATTGGCACCGGTTAACCGGAACCAGTGCCGATTGACTTTAATTCCCAAAAAAAAAAAGAGAAGTTATGGCACCGGTTAACTGGTGCCTATTTGACCCTATGACACCGGTTTTGAACCGGTGCCAAAAATTGGGTTTTTGGCACCCCCCACATTGGCACCGGTTCAAGCTGGTGCCTTAGGCCGGGTTTGAACCGGTGCCAAATTCTTTTTTTCACGTAGTGCTTTTATGTTTAACAGACAGAAAGTAAGTTAACAATATCTCTTCTCATCTCTTTGCTCTATTTCCAAATTTTAGGACACTAACATGTTTGTTTATGGCTTGTGTGTAGGGTCTGCTAGAAGCATTTGAAGCTGTGGTCTCCAAAGCTGAGCTTAGCTTAGGTTTTGTGTCAGACATATTTGGCCAAATTTCAAACTGAAATTCTATGGTGCAACTTTCAAGGAATTATTCTGGCCTACTGCTAGGGCAAGCACTCTGGTGAGCAACTACAATTGGCTAAACTTGTGTTTTTTTTGGTGAACTTGTATGTATTTTAGGTGAACTTGTATGTGGTTGAATGTACTTGTGTGTTTTTTGCTTAACTAGTTGTGAATTTGGCCATAAGTTTCTATTTTAAGTTGAATGATTGGCATGTCTATATATTATGTCACTTGTGAATTGAATGATTGTCATGTGTGTGGCTTCTATCAGTTTGAGTTTGAGGTTGCTATGGAGAGCATCAATTTCCTGGATGAAAAAGCATATCAGTGGATGTCTAACATTGCCCCCCATCACTGGTCAAGGCATGCTTTCTCTACAAACTACAAGTCTAACATGTTAAACAACATGTGTGAGACATTTATTGTAGTGATTAGAGATGCCAGAGACAAGCTTATTCCCACTCAAATGCCAGAGACATACTTGGCTGCATATGAGAACCCCATCAAGCCAATGCCTAGCGCTAAACATTAGGAAAAGGGGAGGCTAAAACTAGGGATGTCAGTGGGGCGGGTCAAGTAGGAGATCCGCCCCATCCGAGCCCCAATGGGGCGGGGATGGGTCTCGGTTTGGCGGGTGGTGGGGCGGGGATGGGGATAAAAACCATACCCTCCATGGGTGATGGGACGGGGGTGGATTTTTAGTTGTACCCGCCCCGCCCCACCCGCCCCACATCGTACCCGCCTCATCCCCACCTCATACCCACATCTATATATCTTTTAAAGCAAAATTACATACTTTTATTCTATTTATAAAATAATTAATGAAATACAATATTAATTATAATACTTTGTACGACACTTATATTATAACACAAAAATGTGTATAGAATGTTTTATTTATAATTCGTATTAATTATGTAAGATTGTGTATTTGAGATACGGATATTAGATGGATCTTGGGTGGGGATTAGGCGAGTCTTTGGTGGGGATTAGGTGGGGATGGATATCCAAGTGGGGGGTGGGGCGGGGATGGTTTTAGAGTTGTACCCGGTGGGGCGGGGATGGAGACGAAAATTGGACCCGCCGCGGGGATAGGGATGGGGATGGGGATGGGAAGGCCAACATCCGCCCCGCCCCGCCCCATTGACATCCCTAGATAAGACAGCCTTTGCCACCTGTGTTGAAAGTGCAACCTTGAAGACCTAAGGCCAAAAAAAGAAAGCTAGAGCCAAGGAAGGGGACTTCTGTAGCACCTGGGGGAAAGAAACCAAAGGTGAAGAAGCAGTGCAAGAACTGTGGTGGTTTGGGCCACTTTGCAAAAACATGCAAGCAACAAGCAGCACCAGAACAACCCAACCCACCTGTAACAAACCCAAAGGGTGGTAGGCCATAGCTGCAGACTCCTTGGCTCAAGGAACAAAGGAAGAAAAGTGAAGAGAGAGCAGTAAGACATGTATATTTTTGCAAAATGGTATTTTCGCATGTACTTGTTTGTATTTAGTTGCTTTGATTTTAATTCTATTCATACTATAATTGCAGGTTGCACTGAAGTTGCCACAATATCATCCTGCAACAACAACAGCAACTGGGAGTCAGGCTGCAACAAGAGAAGTTGGGTTAAGTCAGGCTACAACAGAGGTTGGGTCAAGTCAGGCTACAACAAAAACAACTATGTCAAGTCGACCTCCAGGAACAGTGCCTATTCCAAGTCAGCCTGTCACCAGAAGCAAGAAGAGCCTCTGTCAGCCCACACAAGTGCCAACAGCTACCCCATCCAAAGTCAAAATTCAAACCAAGTCCAAGCTTCATGTAATGAGGAGCAAGAAGGTCAAAGATGTTAATGCACTGTGATCTAATTTAGAGTAGTATTTTGTAGTTGACAGCCTAATTTTTTTTACTAATGTTGTGTATATTTGGTAGTATATTTGGTATTTGAACAATGTTTTTGCACTATGGTGCAATAACTTTTGTCATAACCAACTGAAAACAGTTAAATGCCTTTTGTTGCAAGTAGTAATATGACAAGTTTCTAGAAAAAGTTCCATTTTTCATTGATTTATTGTCAAAACAAGTACAAGTAATTCCATCCCTACAATCACACATAATAGCTTAACGAAATACAACATCAGTTGGGGATTTTATGTTTCTTAGAATTCCCAACTAAACCTAAGATCTAAAATACATAGCCAAAACCAAACCAAAACAACAAAACACAACAAAAGCATGTAATGTCAGCATTTTCTTTGTTGTTGCATTGCTTCCATGCAACTCCTTTCTCATCTTCTTCCTGTCTGAACTAAGAGCTTTGCATTTCATATTCAGGATGTCAATCTCATTGAGCAAGCACCTCCTCTGCCCACTAACATCATCAACTTTCCTCTTCATGTCATTAATCTCACCCTTCATCAATTTTTTGTCCATCAGCAAGTTGTTAATCACCTCTATTTTTCAAGGTGTTCCATCTGGTTGATCCACCCACTCAAAATCTTTACACCCCCTTGTCTCTGTCACGGAATCATAGAATTTGCAAGATCTAAACTTGCGTCCAGGGTCCTCCCTAGTCCAAGCAGTAAGCCTTGCCATTGGAACTCCACATTGGCATCTTTTCTCCTTTGAAGGTGATATGCTAACAGAAGACATTCCCTTCTGAAATTCATTATCAAAAGCATTGAAATTCATTGTATTTGAACACAATTACCATAATCTAACCCTAATTTTACTACCTAATTGAAATATCAAAAACCCCCAAATTAATTTTGACTAACATGAACCTTAAGTATTTATAATGAAATTGGGGTTGAATTAATAACACAAAACGTGCAATTTCAAATACACTTAACAATTGCAACATAATCACGAAAAGAATTGCAAAAAATTACAACTGGCTTCATGAAAATTGCATACCTTTTGTTGTTTGTTGTCGAACAGTTGAATTGATTCAAGGACGAGTACAAATCTTGAATAATTTGATAATTTAAGGATGTAGGATTGTTAGGGATCATCCAAATTAATGATTTGTGAAGAAAATCGCAAAAAAGAACTTCAATCTTCAAGAATTTGATGTAGAAATGAAGAAGGTTGGTTTAAATAGAAAGGGAAATCGAGAGAATTTGGGGATAAGTTCAAAAACTAGTTGTTATGGTGGGCCCCACATGCGGTTTCCTTCACCGAGTTAGGATTAGGTGGTAAAACCGAATTTTTTTTATGAGGTGGTAAAGTAATTTTTTTTTTTCAGGTGGTAAATTCAATAAAGTCGTTATTTGAAGGTGGTAAAAGTTAAAATTTCCTAATTTATATTATTAAATATCTTTAGTTTTTTTTTTAATAAAATTTAAAAAAAGAAAAAACATTTTACTTGATAATTAAACTTTTGCCATGAAAAAATACCATAAAGGAGTTTATTTATGTGAACAAGTCATAATTGACAGCTGCAATTAAATATTTTCATAAATAAACCAATAAAATGTCCCTAGACCTTGGGGGGTTGGTTTGATTCACTTTCAGCTAGTAAGTTCAGCTATGCCTTTGCTCTAAAAATTGGGATTTGTTTTGCCTTTAAAGTTGAAATATTAGCAGTGGAATATGGGATGGAATTGGCAAAGAGAATGGTAATTAGAAAGCTACAGCTTCAAGCAGTGTGTCAAATTAGGGGCGAAGTCAGGATTAAAAATCTATGGGGGCCAAGAAACAATAAAGTTACCAAAAAAAAAGGAAAAAAAAAATGCTTAAAGTGGGGAATCGAACCTGAGACCTCTCTCTCAGCAAGTTACTATGAAAAACTCCAACAAACCAACTGGGCTATCACTAACATCATGATATGTAGGACAAATATTAGCTATTTATTAGTTATTCTAGGGGAGCCATACTATACTACATATATCACCGTTTGGGCCAGGGGGGGGGGGTCAGGCCTCCACTAGCCCCCCTGTGGCTCCGCCTCTGTGTTAAATCCTTCAAAGCAATGATGAGTATGGTAGAGAATGCTTTCACCAGATTGCAAATTGTAAGAAAATGCTAGCTGACCCGAGTTGGGAAGTGGTGATCAAGCAAATTTATAAAGAGGGTAGCAACATTGCGGATTAGCTTGCCAATCAAGGAATGAACCAGAACAATGGAGTCGAGTTGATTCAAGTCCCAACATTAGCTTTAGATCGTATTTTAGATAATGATGTTGTAGGAGTGGCTATGCCACATGTGGCAGATCTTCTAAGGCGCAAGGCTGGGCTTGGCCCCCCTTAGATTTTGATCCAAAATTTATTATCTAGACTACTTTACTTATAATTAGTGTCTTCAATATAACTTGTCTGACAATTACATCACAAGCTAATAAAATTACTTGTATTTCTAAATTTTTATTGGCGTTTTTCTTCTTACTTTACTTATTTGCAATGTTGTTAGAGATTTCATACTTGTTAATGCAACTTTTATATTGTTAATATTTTTATTATATTTTAACATATACACCGTAGTCATGCTAAACTTAATGTTTTCATACAAGTCAAAATTTGAATAATGTATTTTTTTCGGTCGGTTGACGGGTCATTTTATATCACCTATCTAACATGTTATGATCGATAACATTTATAGTTGAGGAATAATTGAACTTTAATTTATTCGATCGGTCCCCCAAAAAGAAGTTGTCAAGATCCGCCTGAGACCTAGCCTCTCGTGAGCACAAAAAAAAATAAAAAAATTAAAAATAAAAATAAAATAAAATAAAAAAGGTACCTCGAGGTACACGAGATTAGCAAACTTTCATCTATTCTTTTTTTTTTCTATCCCAACAATATTGTATATTTGGCATTGCCTACTGGGAGGATTTGTTTATTGTTTATTGTTTATTGTCCATTATCAAGTCTACGCACGGTTAATGAATTCCCTTCCTCTTAGGTTCCTTATCTTTGTTCTATGTATTCGTTTACCATAATTAAAAATTTCCCTTTCTCCGATTTTCCGCTTTCTCAAGTACAGTCTACGAGGCTAGTAGTAAGATGCCCACTTTATAAAGATAGTTTTTTTTTCTATGAAATAAACTTTATAAAGATAGTTACATTTCAAAGTTCAACACTGGTTTCAAAATCCATTTTTGACCTTTTCTTCACGCATTAACTTTGTAACGAGTGTGGTTAATTTAAGAGACGGTTTTATGTAAAACAGTCATGTTAGTCCGATTTATAATGCACACATTTATCCCCACCCAATAACACTGCCTAGTCCCCTGTCAACGGCCAGCGACCCTCCCCTCCCATCCCCGCCAGAGAGTGAAGAGGTCGAAACTACTCTCTTCGAAGCTCACATATTTCCTCTCTCCATCACAACATCACTAGGAAATTTGAGCTTCTTGAATGAGTTGTCTCTGTACAATAATATATATATATATATATATATATATATATATATATATATATATATATATATATATATATATAGTCTTAGGGCTATAGTGATAAATTTGAACAAGTCTTAGTGAGTTTTAACAAGAATTTGATGACATCATTATCAATGGGGACCACAAAAAATGATATCGCATCCAAGTCTTAAGACTTGAAACTAAACTTGCTCTTACAGTTGAACCAATGCGTGCTTCACCAACCAATTACCAAAGGCATACTAAGTTTTCCACATTATTAGGGGCTAACAAGTTTTACACCAATCAAATAAATATGCTTGCTAATAGAGGGTCACACTATAAGGGAGGTTGTCCAAATGCAGTTTCGTTATGTACGAAAAAATACATAACGAGGGGCAATGGTGTAAATTCGCTGGCTTTTTGAATTGGTGAGTGGAATTCCACCTCAGTATAAGCTTTTTGTCAGTGAAACAGTACCCCGTTAAGCTTTTTTATTGTATTTTTATCTTCGTATTTGGGACGAATTGTATAGAATTTTAACTTTGTACTCGTATATCGTGTAGTGTTCCATTCCATTCGATTAATTCCACTCCAGTGCTCTCTCTCTCTCCCCTCCATCTTCCTGTCTCTGTCTCTGTCTCTCTCACTCCCTCCGACGTCTCTCTCTTCCTCTAGCCTTTGGAGATATGGAAAATCACCAACTCGCATAATCGCTCCGTTTGTGCATAGCTGTGTTGAAGATTGGAGCATAGCAGGCGTCCAATTGAGGTAAGTAAAGTGCTATTGAATTTATAATTTAGGGTTTAAGAAATTTTTACAATTTCATGATTCTAACGCAATATAAATTTATCCCCAAAATTGAGTTAGGGTTTATAAAAAATTGCAAACCTTAACATCGCTAAACTTTTGATTTGATTTTCACAATTAATTTTTTGTTATGCTAAATCAGATTTTAAAAATCTCATTTCTTTTAATTTCACGAGAAGCGTTTTTTTTTTTTCTTTTTTTTAATGTCATATACAAATTTGAGAGTTTCTTGTTTGGCATTGCTAAGATTGTTCTATTATCTGGTTCTTGATGTGATGTGAAGGTTGTGATAATGTATGGTGCCTTTTTTGAGAATTATCAACTTAGCTGAATGAACGATTGATAGCCAATGCAGATTTAGCTAAGGGATCTTAGACCTTTCTGTAGCATGGTTGCTTGGAAATTTTTTAGTTTGATTTGGGGATTATTTTTTTATTACTTTTTTTATGGGTAGTCGAAAATTTTCTCGGCTCTTGTTAATGCTGAGAAGAGTAACAAGGAAGAATCCTCACCCGGGTTTTCAAAGCTTAAGGTTACTGAGGCAGAGAAAGCCATAGCCGGAAACCTTTGTAGGTGTACTGGTTTCCGGCCTATTGTTGATGCTTGCAAAAGCTTTGCAGGAGATGTGGATATTGAGGATCTAGGATTCAACACTTATTGGCAAAAGGAGGAGGGCAAGGAACTTAAGGTGAGTAGTTTACCTGTTTATAATAGCATTTGTCAGATATCAACATTTCCTGATTTTTTGAAGAGTGAAATAAAGCTTAAAATGTTATTGGATTCAGGGAAATATTCTTGGTATACCCCCATTAGCACTGAGGAGATCCAAAATAAGCTGAAAATGAGTGAGGCCAACTACGTACCGTGTCAAATTAGTTGTTAGTAATACAGGTACAGGGTATTATAAAGAACTAGAAGGCTATGACACATACATAGACTTAAGGTACATTCCTGAGCTTTCTTTGGTTAAAAGAGATTCTAAATGCATCCAAATTGGGGCAGCTGTGTCGATCTCTAAAGCTATTGTTACATTTGAAGAAGGTGGTGAAGATAGACTGGGTGGGGGTAGTGTAGCAGTGCTTAAGAAAATTGCTGCCCATTTTGAGAAAATTGCTTCTGAGTCGATCAGAAACTCAGCCAGTATAGTCGAAAATTTTTGCAGGGTTTGTAGATATGGATTCATCTTGCTGAGCTGAGCTTAACAGGGGTTTTGAGATGGTATTTTGGATCATATTTTGTTTTGGGGTTTTTTGGTTCATGAGTTCATATGCTGTTGAAAATAGAAAAGAAAGACTTGCTAGTATGTGTGATGACAGGCCTAGGATTTTAATGTTAGTATGAATCATATTCAAGCTAGATCCATTTTAAATATTAATTTCCACTTTTCATCGTGGCAAGTATCCATCTGCTATTGATCAGGTATAAATTTCAATGAATTATAATTTATTACTAATATTTGATGATTTTGTAATTCCTTGTATCTCTGACTCGGATTTTTTTCCTAAATGGTTATGTTATGAGTAGGATTAGGAATTATAGGTGTATTTATCATGCATGTGGGAAAATTATTGAGAAATTTTGTAGTATATTATGCTTCCTGAAAATGATATCTTTGATGAGTTGAGGTGTAATCTTTACTCCTGAAATTGTGCTTCTGCTGTCAGCAGAGCTAATGGCCTTTGGATTTTGTGTCCGTTTGTGTCGGATTTTATCTGAAATTGTTGGTATTAAGTCATTAGATACTAAGATGGACTTGGAGTCTTGGAAGGGAAAGCATTTCACTTGGCTAACCTAGATGAATAGATAGAATGAGTACAAATTCTTGTATATTTCGAAGGTAACAAATTCTTGTAAATGATGAAAAAAATTGAAGCATTCAGGTGAGTGGGATAGAACATCCTAAAGAGTTTGTATTGTGGTTGTGGAATAGCTCACACTGCCTCAGAGCTTTTATATTTGTTTCTTCTTTGTTAATCTGGATATGGTCTTTGTTCCTTTAGGTTAAGTCTGATAGTATGTTGTTATAGTTTTACTGCTAGTATTAGAAAATTAGTTCCTAACTAAGGTGTATATTGAACAGAAAACTTGTGCAAGATCCATTGAAAGAACTGCTTTCGAACAACCATTAACAAGTGGTGTGGCATATGCTGTGAAAGTGCTCCATTCTGAAAGAGAATAATTTGAGAAGCAGCATGGCTGGACTATTAAGAGGATGGATACTGTTGAACAAGAACCTGTTCATAAGTATGATTATGCTCTGGAAAAGCTGGAGCCTTCTCTAGTTCAAGACGAAAATGCCCATGATATTTGCACAAGATACCATTTCTCATGTTGTTTCTGTCGATGTGCTTTCTAGGAAGGTATGCTCTTATTTATTGTCTTTTCTTAGTTCTTAAGATTTATTAATTAAATTTGTTTGTTATAATTTGAATGATTCTTTCTTGGTTAATGTAAACGAGTGATAATGAGCCGATGAATAATGCATTTTGATCATCTTATTGCGCTATTAGATTTTATTTTTTTTTTGTCTGATGCTTTTTGCAGCCTAGCTCTAAAGTCCATGTACATTTGAAGGGAGCCATCGATGACTCGATGAGCATAAGGTGAAGGGGCTGCTAAAATTGGAAGGGGGTTGCTGGTGAGCACAAGGTGAAAGGGGCTGTTGAAATGGGAAAGGGGAAGGGTTTGGAGGAGATGAATTTTAGAAGTATAAATCTATGTAATCTAAATATTACAAATTAGATATTACATGTATAAATGTTAATTAAATTACAAGGATGAATTGTGTTTTTGTTTAGATTAAATAATTTAATTTTGTACAAATATTAGATTAAATTAGCTAAGTTGAGACACTTCATTGTTCCATTAGAACCCTACATTATTTTAGTAGTAGAACCCTTCATTGTACAAGTATAACCCTGCAAAAATAATCAAAGAGTTCTACCCTTCATTACAATATAACCCTACATTATTTTAGTGGAACTGTGGAACCCTACAATGTTTTAGTGGATCCCTTCATTGTGTGAGTGTAAACTTGCAATTCACCCTATATAGTCATACCCAAATTTGTTTTAGTGGGACCCTACAATGTTTAAGTGGAACTTTATTCTTGTACACCATGTTAATGCAAAACTTTGACTGAGAATATCTTTAATTATCAATAAGTAAAAATTATAACAATGGAATATTAATAAATTATTCGTTTAGACGATTCCATCAAGTACCCACATGCCTATATATATTTTTATGTATAATCACACATATTAATCATAGTGAATTGGATTAATAATGCAAAACGTCAAAACATTTCATTTATGTAAACACGGAGGAAGTAAAAAAATATCATGATCGCTTCCTGGAAAAGTCTCTTTGACTAATTATGCACTATTCAATCACTATTTTTGAGTTACTTTTTTTTTTTTTTTTTACCTAGAACAAAATGAATAAATGTCATTTTATTGCTCATAAATGTCATGATTTATTTATGTAATATATCATTTGATTACTTATATAGCTTTTTCCATACATAAGGGTACCAAATCATAGAAGGGTACCACTACCTTACAAAAGGGTACTACTGATATTATATTTGATTCAACTATTATTCAAAATATAAGAGCAAATGGTAGATAAGAACAAAGTACCCTTTATTGTCACATTAGTACCACTACATATTAAAAGGGTTCCATTAGAATATTATAGGGTACAACTGAAATACATACATCATTGAGTAAAACGAAAGTACACTTGTCATCTACGAGGGTACCATTGGTACCTACTAGGGTACCATCAATTATATAAAAATCATCTACAATCTACAATAAGAAACTTTTTGCAACATTCTAGCCTAATCAAAAGCTAAAGGAGTTGAAAAGAAAAACTCAGCACTGGAACAATATAGGGTACCATTGGAAAGCAAGCATCTTATCATTGGATACATATGAAACCCTAAGATTAACATTTACAACTATTTACCAATTTAAAGTCAGCAAAGGAAGGAAATCACCCTGTAATAAAATTAAGGAACCATTTCATCACTCCAAGTAAACATGAATAGAGTGTGTCCTCCAATTAAAGAGTGCAAAGAGTTCTAATAAATCAAAATTAAGGGAACCATTTAATCAAATAAAACATGTAAGGGCCATCTTTTAATATTACATATAAGCCATACATTTTCCAATATTTACCTTATTTACCAATTTAATTTTAGCATGGGGGACTATTTAATCAAATTTAAGGGAACCATTTAATCAACACACTCATATAAATGTGAAGAGTATGGTTCTCCAATTAAAGAGTGTAAAGGATTCCAATAAACCACTTTAAAATAAAGGGTACCACTTACAAGTTCAAGGCTACCACTACAAATTATAAGGGTACCACTAACAAGACTGATCGATACAATCACACTTAAGCAGTGAAGGGTACCCTTGGTAAGTTAAAGGGCACCGTTAAAAGCATGAAGGGTACTATTGACTAGAGTCAGACCATTGGAACCACATAAGGTACCACCATAACCATGTAGGGTACCACTGGAACAATGTAGGGTACCATTGGAAAGTAGGCATCTTATCATTGGATACATATGAAACCCTAAGATTAACATTTACAACTTTTTACCAATTTAAAGTTACCAAAGGAAGGAAACCACCCTTTAATAAAATTAAGGAACCATTTCATCACTCCAAGTAAACGTGAATAGAGTGTTCTCCAATTAGAAAGTGCAAAGAGTTCTAATAAATCAAAATTAAGGGAATCATTTCATCGAATAAAATATGTAAGGGTCATCTTATGATATTACATATAAGCCATACATTTTCCACTATTTACCTTATTTACCAATTTAATTTTAGCATGGGGACTATTTAATCAAATTTAAGGGAACCATATAATCAACACAATCCATGTAAATGTGAAGAGCATCGTTCTCCAATTTAAGAGTGTAAAGGGTTCCAATAAACCACTTTAAAATTCCAGGGTACCACTAACAAGTTCATGGCTACCACTACAAAGTATAAGGGTACCACTAAAAAGAATGATCGATACAATAACACTTAAGCAGTGAAGGGTACCCTTGGTAAGTTAAAGGGCACAGTTGAGACCATGAAGGATACTACTGACAAGGGTTAGACCATAGGAACCACGTAGGGTACCACCATATCCATGTAGGGTACCACTAGAACAATGTAGGGTACCATTGGAAAGCAGACATCTTATCATTGGATACATATGAAACCCTAAGATTAACATTTACAACTATTTACCAATTTAAAGTTATCAAAGGAAGGAAACCACCCTTTAAAATTAAGGAACCATTTCATCACTCCAAGTAAACGTGAATAGAGTGTCCTCCAATTAGAGAGTGCAAAGAGTTCTAATAAATCAAAATTAAGGAAAACATTTAATCGAATAAAATATGTAAGGGTCATCTTTTGATATTACATATAAGCCATTTTCCACTATTTATCTTATTTACCAATTTAATTTTAGCAAGGGGGACTATTTAATCAAATTTAAAAAGGGAATCATTGAATCAACACACACTCCATGTAAATGCAAAGAGCATGATTCTCCAATTAAAGAGTGTAAAGGGTTCCAATAAACCACTTTAAAATTCAAGGGTACCACTAACAAGTTCAAGGCTACCACTACAAATTATAAGGGTGCCACTAACAAGACTGATCGATACAATCACACTTAAGCAGTGAAGGGTACCCTTGGTAAGTTAAAAGGCACAGTTAAAAGCATGAAGGGTACTACTGACAAGGGTTAGACCATTGGAACCATGTAGGGTACCACCATAACCATGTAGGGTATCACTGGAACAATGTAGGGTACCATTGGAAAGCAGGCATCTTATCATTGGATGAGGGGTGGGTGGGCTTAGGAGCTGTAATCAGGGACTCGGCAAGAGAGGTGCTACATGCTGCTATACGAAGAAACCGAGGTAGGTGGCCTCCGGAAATAGCTGAGTGGTAAAGCAATTGCCTTCGGTGTTGGACTTGCAAAGCGGTATGGTTTCAAGAAGGTCATAGTGGAATCGGATAGCAAGATTGTGGTATATCGACTCTCAAAATGTGTTACTTACTTTTCTGATTTAGACTCTTTTTTAGATGATGTTTTCTTTATTTGTAAAGACCTCGAATTTTTCTCGTGGTCTCATGTTATAAGGGATGGGATTTCGGTAGCTTATCACCTTGCTAGATTAGTGCCCTTTGGTATAGAACAAGTGTGGGAGAATCAATATCCTTCGGATGTTTCTGCGTACGTTCTCATGGACAAATTGTCCATGAATTAATACAAATTGTCCATGAATTAATAATATGGCACTAATCGTTGTGTTTCTAAAAAACCAGGGCCTAAAAATTTCAGATTTTTTTTTTTTTTTTTTTTTTTGCTTGAGTCAGTACACTTAGAGAAGATTACCATTAGAGTTTATAAAAATGAAAAATAAAAACCCAATTTGCAGGTCTAAAAAACAATACCCATAATATAAGACAAGTACAAACACCTAATATATTACCCAAATCAAAATGATTAATTTGCAGTTCATATAATCAAAGTTCAACTCAATGCCTCGATCAGAGACTTGTGTAAGTACTAAAAAGAGTTAGCTGCATAGCACAGTTGCATTGACTAAATCTTAACTAATGAATTAAAGCAAGAAAATATTAAAATAAAAAACCCAAGTATAAACATCCGAAACACTACCCAAATCAAAATTAATTCTCAATTAAGAAAATAGTTTTAAATATGATCTTGGTGGAGAGCCAAAAAATTGAAGATGTCATCGGAGATTCTGGGCAGCAATAGTAGGTTGTTGTCGGAGATTCGAACAATTTAGAGGAAGATCGAGTACGCCAAAATGGAAGGCGCGACCAGGGACGCCATAGCAATTAGCAAACCATGGAAGAGGAAAGCTTCCCTTCTGAATTTTGAGATGAAAGAGATATCCAAATTATTGAAAATTCATGATTAAAAGGGAAAAGGATCAGCTTTCTACTCGTATATTTTAAAGTTATTATAGGTATTGTATGTTTTCACTTTATACGTGTATTCTCTTTTTTTTTTTTTTTCCTTGTATCTCTGACCATGTGTTACTTTTTTACTGTTTAGTGGGCCCATTTCGTTTGGTTTTTCCCTCCAAACTGGCCCCATTATGTTGTTATGTATTTTCACATACATAACGAAACTTCATTACTACTTCCTCACTATAAGGTGGCCTAACCTTATTCTCTCACTATGATTAGTAAGAAGGTGGAACCATCAAAGGTTGTCTTGGTTGATGGTTTAGAACCGGCGTCCCTCAACCCACCTAAAGACTTTAAACGATCTGACTTCCCTCCTTACTTCAAATTTGGCGCCTCCATTTCAGCTCTTCAGGTCTTTTTCTCTCCTTTTCTCACTCCAACTCATTTAACTGCCCCAACATTCAATAGTTGTATATAATATATCCCTTTCGTTCCTAAAGTCAAATTAATCTCACTTCACATCATCTTGACACTATTCTTTTCTTTTTTTATTTTCGGGTTTTTTTTTTTTAAACATTGTCTCAATTCAACTCTCAAGTGATACACATTGTGGAATTCAAATATACAATATCAACTAATAAACATGTCAAAATTTTACTTAACATCTTACCCCGGTGGTGGTTAGGGGTGAAAGTAATTTGGATTAAAACCAAACCGAACCGAAAACCAAGATTTTTTAAGAATTCGGATTGGATCGGATTGGAAAAATTAAAAAATATGGATTACGGATTGGATTCGGTTTGGGGTTTAAAAAAACCGAAAAT